TGTCTCAAAAGTCGTGATCGTTTAACAAATACATATAGCTCCAATACTGAGGCTGTTATTTTCAGTTATTTGTATGATCTTTCTTCGAAACAGATTATTCATATTTCCTAAAAGAAACTTTAATAGCCATGGTAATGAGTACGTTAGAAGATTTTATAACTCATCTGTTATTAAAATTGGCTATATTCTTTCTTTTGTCAGAATATATTAGAATTACTATTTATAAAGTCAGGGTGACTGATTTTGAATGATTCCATTGTCGTAATAACAATAGAAATTCGAGTAAGGGGTCGAACACACTAGAGACAACTGACTTAACTTAAGTTTGAATTAAGTAATGTGATTGGTTAAGTCAGACTTAAGTCATCTTTTTGAGATGACTTAAGTCTGACTTAACCAATCACGTTGCTTAAATTTGTCTTAAGTTAAGTCACTTTTTCTAGTGTGTTCGACCCCTTTATGTCGAAAGTAACAATGCATATCGTTTTGTATTGTCTTTAAAAATAAAAGCTTACTAGTCTCTTCTTTCAAATAAAAATAAAGAAACATTTTCTGATTAGACTTGCTCCGTAGTGGAGTTATATACATCTATTAAGTGATCATGACTTTTGAAATACCTTGTATTTCTGGCTTCTTTAGGTTTTTATTATTTGATAAGTATAAAAATGTATCTAATAGAATATTTTATATCTCCTAGAAATTATTTTAAACAAGAAATGGCTAGATGTTTTTCTTAAGGTTATAATAAAGAATGTTAAATTGTTTGTAACATACAAAATATGTGTTATTCCTTATCAGAGCTGCAAGCCTGACCTGGTGACCTACCAGACTAAAACTTTTATAGATCGACAGTTAGAGCCTGTCGGATCGAGTCCGGTGTTGAAAATTTAAGACGCGATTGATTCTACCGGCAGTCCAGTTTTGACTAAGTAAGGTTGGAAGAAAGTACCCTGTTGGTAGCTCTGTTGTTCATCTAGTATAAAACAAAACAACCATCAGATATTTGATGATTGATAATGTCAACCAGATAAAATCTTCGAAGATTAATTCGTTGTTATGTACTGCGTACATACAATTGTTAATAGTACATTTCCTTCTTTTACTTGTATAATTAAAAAAAGTCCCGTATTATTCAAAAATAGTTCAAGATTAAACAAATATGAAATTCTTTTATATATATATATTGTCGACTAATTTTCCTTTATCTTGTAATCATTTTTTGTTTTATTCTATTGGAAGAATGCGTTCAAATTGGAATTAATCATACAAGTGAAACAAAGCATGTGTTATAGAAAGACCGAAATGGAAAATATTGAAAATTTCAATTAACAAGACATTTCTTTTTTTTGGCATAATGCTAACAATGTAACATAGATCATATACAAGTCAAAAGATATAAAAAAAAAAAACGATAGAAATAATAGTGTCATTTTTTGTTCGTCTAGTAAATGTAAATGATAAATCATCGAAATATTCCATTACATTTATAAGATAGTCATAATATTATTCATCAAGATATTATATAAAACAGAATATTTGACATTATGCGAAAAACTCCATTGGATGTTGTAGAAAGAAAATCAAGTTTTTAAATAAAATTTTTTCTATCAAATCTGTAGTTTTATAACTCGAATATTTTGATACTACTAGAAAGATTACAACGTATTGGTTACAATTACATGTAATGTGGCTAAAAATTTAAACAGTCGAATGCAAGATAAATTGATCAAATACACTTGACATCACTCATTTTGAAGAGAATTTTTTGTTAATTGAAATTAACAGAATGTAAATTCTAGGAATTGAAAAACTTGATTTTTCAGAGATCCTATTTTGACAATCATTTTTATTTTCACAAAAATTCTTATGGAAAATAAAATTCTCTAGTCAAACTATCATTTAGACTCTTATAAGTATTTACAGCATCGAGAAAAAAAAATTGAACATAAATCTAGTAGAATAATTTTCGAAGCTATCGTATTATTCAAATAATCATCCAAACAAAGACCAGTATTACGATAATACTCATGATAACTTAACAAATTCTTCAAAACTACACTGTTTGTCTTATGGACACATATCCACGAATTGAAGAATGTATAGAGACAAGAGAGAATGATATGTAACAAAATATGAAAAATGAACTCATTTCTCATAGTAATGTTTACCTGGATATGCGACATATACTTATCTGAATAGAGTTTCAAAAAGCTACTTTTCTTCATAATAATAATAAGCCTTCATTTGACGTTTATGATATTCATCGAATGTAGATTTTTAACTGCAAAGTGTGAAATTTCAACTCTTTAGAAAAGAAATATTATATACAAACAGTTTATACATTTTTTATGATTAATGAGCTAACAGAATAAAAATAAAAAGCAAAGATTTTATTATATCAAATTTCTATTGGTTATTTCTAACAAGGTTCTTCATCAATAATGATTGTATTCATAATATATTACTATTGACTCATTTCTATTGTCTATGGAATAAAAGAAAAATAATATAATCAAGATTATTTTTTCCGACTACATACTTCCTTTGATTCCATCATGTTTCATACGAATATGATTCTGGGAGAAATGTTATTTCTATACTAAAATCTATAACAAAATAGATCTTTCTTAACAGGAAATTTAATTTTTTTTAATTTATATTTTCTCTTTTACATAGTACAGCATGGAATCTTTTTTTTATCGGAAATAATAATTAATGAGTATGTATAAATAAAAAAGAACATTTACTTAAATAGAGTAAGGCAAAAAAAAAACTATTTAGTTCACTTTTTATTTTCTTCATTTCTCATTAAGGAAATCTTATTGGAAATATCCAAACAGTGATTTTAATAGCTTTCAAAGCGGCTTACAACACTCAGATTTGATCATTTTTCAGAGCACAAATATTTTACTTTTTATTATACAAGAATATTTTCTCTAGCAGAAAAAAGTTTAGCACATTTTTAGTCTATGACTAATTTTTTCGTTATTTAACAATGGGGGTAAAAGTTGTTTTATATACTATTCAGTGTAATATTTAACGGGCTACATTTTCGTAAAAAGCACGTATTCTGATATTGATATCCTAGTTAATTAGTAGTTAATCATTATTATTAATTAATCAGAAGCTAATAGTAGCTAGTAACTATTAATTATTAGCAATTATTAATAATGTTTCTATTTATTACCAACTTCTAAGTATGCTATATGAAACATCATCAAAAATTGAACAAAACTATTTTACTACTATTTCGAAATGAATCATTTTTGTGAGATTTTCAGTTTTAATTAAGCATAATCTTCATTATTTTCAATCAATTCAATTATGAAGGATAATTTAGATCTGTAAAGACCAACGAATTTTAAAGAGTAGTATTTACTCTTTCAAATAACATATAATCGTTCTCAGTATATTATTCTATCCAAAATTTATAGAATCGATCAAATTATGAAATAAAAAAAACCGGCAGAAAAATAACTGAACATTATGACTTAAAGTAATTGTTTAAAGTAAAGACTCTGTAAAGTGCGAATAGAATAATGTACTGAGAAGGACGATAGTGTCATTTGAAAGAGTAAATACGGTGCTGCAAAATCTGTTGATTTTTGTAGATCTAAAGCTTTGTTTCATAATTGAATTTATTCAATTTTTTATATTTTTTCATATGATAGTAACTACTAATTAATTAATATTCCAATATGAGAACGAGTGCTTTTTACTAAAATGTAGTCCGTTAAATTCTACATTGAATAGTATAGAAAAAACAAATTTCAGCTGTTGTTAAATAACGAAGAAATTAGTCATACAGTAAAAATATGTTAAGCATTTTTCTACTAGAGAAAATATTCTTGTATATAATTCGATCTAATGAATTAACAAACATATTATTTGTCATTTGATGTTTTTCTAATAGACAAAAATTTTTTTAATAATTTATATTTTTTACTATTCACAAATATTGTTATGATTTAGGTAGTTTTAAGAATGTTTTTATATTATTTCAATATTGATTAAAATCAAATAAACAAATATATTATAAAATGATAATAGACTTGATAAACAAACAATAGTAAACTTTTTATAGAAATTGATTAATTTCTCTAGAGAAAAAGCAAAAATGCTTTTTTTTTTATATATAATAGAAATTCTATATTAACATGATATCTAAGTAAAAAGTAATATCGTCTTTTTACTCCTATAAACTTCCCCGCAATTAGCATGAATAAGTATACTATGCCTGTAACATTCAATTTTTTTTTGTTGATGTGCTATTTTTCTTCATTAAATGTTACTTATTATATATTAATAGAAAATTCTCGAGCAAGATGTTTAGAAGAGCAACATCAATCTTCATTGAATAAAATATATAAATATAGAAACATGATTTCTTTCATTATTATTATAAATATAGACAGATGTTCATAATGTTTTTATTATTTTCCTTTTTTTTTTTGTTTTCATATTGCATGTTTTGTATAACAATTATAGTTATTATTTTTTCTTATGAAAAATTTTACATTCCTGTTACTTTTCTTTTTCTTATTGAGTTGCATACTAAAAAAAAAGGCTATCGTTTTTCTTTTTTTTATTGTCTTTTATAATGATGAATTTAGTCTTCTTATGTAGTATTTAAGCGAGGTAGTAGTGTATAGCTTTCTTTTGGGGGTAGAATATAAAAATTTTGCATGTCGCATTAACTTGATGTGATAAGAAATATAAGACGTAGACGAACAACAATATAAATTGACTTTTACGTCTCTTCATATTTTCATCTATGCTCAAAATGCTATTTTCTTCTTCCTATTTAAAATGAGCTTGTTGACTGATTATATTTTTCTTTACTTACAAGACATCTTATTAACATTTATTATTTATGAAAAAAAATATATGTATATCTTAGGCTTCTTACAAAATATTTTTCTAATAGAGATATATAGATAGTCAATCACATAAAGTATTGCTTTGTGTCTTTTTGTTGTTGTTTTTTTTCTTATTCTAGTATGATGAATCGTTTACAAACGGAACTAGTCGAACAACTTCCGCAAATAGTTCTTCAAGAACAATCATGCAATTTAACCAATACTAATCAAGATAATAATACATTTGTAACAAATCCAAATGTTAATGATCATCAAGCAAATATACGTCGTCGAGCACCAACAAGACATTCAATAAAATCTTTAACAAATCGAAAAACATTATCAAAACAAAATTCAACAAAAGAGGTAATTATTTCTATTAATTATTTATATATTTGTAGAGAAATATGTAAGTTTTTTGTTTGTTTGTTTTTTTTTCATTTAATCTTCATTAAGTATTCATGATGATATTATAGAATAACAAATATAGTATGTATTAGTATCATATAGTTTTTAAAAAAAAACATTTGTACTTGAATGATCGATGAATCGATCGTAAAATTGACGAATATAATTCTATTACTCTTTTACAATTAAGAATATTAATAATTCTTCTTTTTTGTTATCTGTTCCATTTCTCGTTTGTTTTTCTTTGCGGAAATAGATACAAACATTTCGTTTTTTTTTTCTCTCGCTTCCGCTTTTGCCGACTGTTCGCTACTATATACATGCTAAAATGGTATATTCCTAGACTAAATATAGAGAAAAAAAGATGAATTTACATTACAAATGAGTCAATGAAAAAACATATTGATGATTATTCAATGGGTAATATTAGAGAAATTCCATAAAAAAAAATGTTCGGAATCAAAATTTCAAATTCGAATAGAAGAAAATTAACAAAATATCATAAAATACATGTGAATTCATCGATTGAAATCGAAATATTTTATTAATTTTAAGTTTTGATAGACATGATTCATTAAATTCAATAGAATCTGATAATGAATCATCATCATTAAATACAGAAATAACAAATTGTTCAAATGATCATCCATCAATAGGCGAATACAAAATAAAAATCTTTTCATTCTATTGAAATTTTTACATTGTTTTAATTAGTTCGCAAATGTAGTGAGAGTATCTGTATGCTCATAGATTTTTTTTTCTTGTTGTTGGTTGCATCAAATATGATAATTAAATGCGGTTTTAAGATGATGCATCATTTTCAAGTTTGAAAGTGGTTATGTACTTGAAAACACATTTTCTAGAGAGGTTGAACTTTTTTGTAAGAAATTTTTTAATAATCTAGAATATTAGTTGTACTGTTATTTGCATAAGATATTTTCCGTTCAGTTAATTAAATAAGATTTGTAATGCTAAATATGAATGAATTATGTTTTTTACTAAACATGTGATAGACAGAAGATTAGATTCATTCTTCATGTCTAATATTACAATGTAGATTTTCATTTTTAATAGAAATCAGATGAACAAAATGTCGCCATTCGTAAATGTCGAGAAATATCGTTAAAATCTTCTATTTCTAACGAGGGAAAGATCTCGAAGTGATAAATTGCTTTTAAACTAAGAGTATATTTAATCAATAAAGCCTAATGGGTAGATAAATACTCTAGAATAGCTTGGACTGTTGGGTCTTTATTGCTGAGATATCGAAGTTTTAGTAGATTTTTCCTGCAGGGTCTCAATTTTCAAGCAAAATCATACTTTTGAATTTTAGTCTGAAACCTTACTCACATAATAGCTAAGACTTTTTTAAAGCATGTTGAAATTTTTTCTATAAGCTAGTCTAATCAGAGCCATTATGTGGGCAAAGTTTCAAATAAAAAATCCAAAGTATGATTTTGCTTGAATACAGGATCCCTCTGCAAAGAAAATCTACTAAAAATTCGATAGCTCAGCAACAAAGGTTCAACAACTTGAAACACTTCAGAGTATTTACCTATTGACTAAGCTCTATCGATTGAATATAGTTTCAATTTAAAAGCAATTTATTACTTGGGAAGCTTCCTCTCGTAAGTAGAAACAATTCTGTTGTTTCCTATATATGTTCGATTTAAATTGCATTTGTTTATGAGAAATAAATTAAAGAACAATGAAGGCACCCTCATTGTCAGATTCCCCGAAAATGCATTTTTTCGTTCAATTTTTTGTCCTGTTTTCTTCATTTTTTCAAATTTATTTTCAACATAAGAACAGGTTATAACAAAGGTAAGTATATATTGTGAAAGCGCGTGCAATACTCTATCACCCTGCCAGTCTTGACTTGCCACTTATCTGATGAACAAAAAAAGGGATAAAAAGAATTGAATGTAACCGTGGAATCTGACTATGAGAGTGCCTTCATTGTACTTTAATTTATTTTTAATAAATAAATGCAATTTAAATTGAACATATATAGGATTGTAGAGAACTCCACACGCTATCCGAATATATAATTACTTTTCTCAATATGTTCATTTATAGTGATGATATATTGAAAATAATCGAGTGACGCTATTTGCTTCAGGGGATCTATGATTTCCACAATAATAATTGCTATTTTAAATATAACAATATAATAAAATAAAATATTATCTAGCAAAATTCTTATCTCTGGAATAAATTATAGTAACATCAATATGGAAAGTAAATCTTTATTGAGCATTAAATTTTAAACTTAAAAATATCATTTAATCTTTCTTGTTTTTGATTATAGTTGATTATAAATTCAAAGTACTGAATTATGTTAGACTCGTGTTCAATCAGTAGACTAGATTACGTTTCACTGACGATACATGTTAACTGTATTATACAAATTCTTCTTATTAATATAAGAGTATTTTGTATAAGGTGAAATTTGAATCCTCACAGACATTGTTGATATACGATTACAGATAGAACCCTTCAAAGTCAAAAGCTTTCGACTCCGAGAAGTTTCAAGAAGTTTTTTTGATTGACATTTATACTTCCTGTTGTGCTACTTGTTAATGAGAATGTCTGTCATATGTGGTTTTTTGTTTGTGTTGAAACTTATTTATGAATCTATAAAGTAGTGGATTTTTGGTTTATTACATATAAAGCATAAATTTGTTACTATGTCAGAGTAAAAGTACTTGACTTTCTCGCATTTTCATGCTTAAAATCTTATTTAATCACGAACAGTGAATTGCTATTCCAATAAGCCGGTAAATTTTTTTGTTTTTTCCGTTTTTTTTTCTATTTTATTATTCTTCAACAGGAAATCCTTTATAAAGCTTTTTCCTATAATTTATAATTTCCATACGGTTTAACTAATTGCTCTGATTATTTCTTTTTTTTAGCTTATCAATAGGCTTTTCATCGATGTCCTTAGAAATGATATGTGTGTGATAATTCTTAAGGCGACAAGTATGCGTTTGAATTCACACCGGATTATATTGTTTAATGAACGTTATGTTCATATTTAGGAGTTTTGCTTTCGTTTTTTTTTATTATTTTATCGTTCTTTATTTGTTTTCTACGATTATGATTATAACTATCTCATGTATGATTTTTCATGTGCTCACTTTCTTCTGTTAACTCTATATATTGGGCGTGCCCAGTCGTGTTGATACCCCAAGATACAAAATAGGAAATGATATTATTTCAGGAAGGAGTATATAATGAATTTTATACCAAATCAAAGCTCGTCAAAAATAGGATTTATTGGTACTAAATAGTAAGGGTTTTGTAATGTTGAACTTAAGAAACTTTATGCATTAAAAAAATGTTAAAAAACTCACATTTTCTATATGGAAGAAAAAAAACTAGATTTTTCTATAGAATTAGTTTTTTTCATTACTTCTACTGTCTCACATATTTCGAAGTGTATTCAATGGATGCAGCGTGGAAAACTGAATCAAATCAGTGTATTTGGAAACAAGTGAGGTAGTAGAAATAATGAAAAAAAACTAATTCTATGGGAAAATCTAGTTTTTTTTTTCTTCCATACAGAAAATGTGAGTTTTTTAACATTTTTTAATGCATAAAGTTTCTTAAGTTCAACATTACAAAACCCTTACTATTTAGTACCAATAAATCTCATTTTTGACGAGCTTTGATTTGGTGTAAAATTCATTATATACTCCTTCCGGAAATAATATCATTTCCTATTCTGTATCTTGGGGTATCAACACGACTAGACACGCCCATATAATGTATGTTTTATCTTTTCACCGAGCAGTTATGAGACTCAATATAATAAAGTGTATAATATAAAGAAAAATACTTGACTATTTTACTGATATAACTCCGACGCTGAATCCAAAATAAACTCTTCACGATAATTCCGACTCCGATAAAGTCAAAATTTGGTTTCGGAGTTCAATGTGAGGTTCTAATTACCGACTGTATATCAATAAGATCTCGTTATAATATATGAGCTACTTCCTTATTGCATTTCCGGAGGATTAAATCAAAAAATGGTGCAGAAATGTGTCTCAAAATAGAAAACTTTAAAAATAAAGTCTCTATGCGATTAGTAATTGCAGCGACATAATATTTCACATTATTAGTTCCGCAGGAATTGTGCTAGTAGCTTATTTTCTTTTCAAATAAATTAAAAGATTCTTTGAGAATAAAATCCGAAATGACTTTAGTAAACTCTAATATCAAGTTCATGTAAGATTGTTAGCAATCATTTTTTTTTCTCTAAATCTCTTGTATTCATTTCAATGTGAAATAGATAAAAACAAAGGTACTTATGAAAGTTCATTGTTCTTGTGTAAAGTTCTCTTTAGACTTAGTTGAAATATGTAAAAAGATAAATTCAGTAAATATCTTTTGAAAAAAAAATTTTATTCCAATAAATTTTCGAAATGTTAATAGAAATTTTATATTGATTGATTATGTTTTATCTGAACGTAAAGTGTGTACTTTTAGATATCTAAAAAAACAAAAAAAGAATAATCATTCGACTTCTTTCCGATGAAAAATTTTGATAGGGAAAAAAAAAAGTAATATGAATAATCTCTATTCATCAAATGAATATTATAATCAGAATAAGAATCGTATTAATAATCAGTAGATCTAAAAAGAACTTTCTCAAGTTTCTTGTTAAATTATTAATTAGTTTTTTATTTATAGCATCGTACATGTCTTGATCCAACAATACAACGACAATATTCCAATTCTCAAAGCTCAGCTTTATCTGATGGAAGTAAGTTTTCTTGTAAATCCTTGAATACATAATAAACTATCATTATCCTTTTCTTGCATAAAAAAAAATAAAACTATGCGTGAAAATAAAAGAGAATAATAAAATAAATAATGCCATTGCTTAATGATGCATTGTTCGTTGGTATGATTAATGATGAGCAACTCAAAAAAAAAGAAAAAGAAAAAGAAAAACGCAAAGTGACAGAAAACAATTGAATGATATCCATCTGCTTAGTTGAATGTCATTCATTTCAATATTAGCCTAATAAACGTTGTTTACGACTAAATTATTTTTATGATTGGTAAACGATTTTGGTTTTTATCATGAATATATCAGCAATAATGAAAACTATACAAAGCATTTATTTGATTTCATTAATAAATGTCTATTATGATGAAAATAAACATTTTTTATTGTTCATTCAAAAAAAAAGAAAACAATTAAATATCAATTCCTTAATTTTGATATTATTATCAATTATGTGCTAATTCCAATAGAATTGCGTGACAATTCTTTTTTTTTCAAAATGTCAATCAACAAATCTAACAACAAGCGCGTCAATATTAATGAAAAAAAAAGAACACAATCATCTAAATAAATCAACAATGTGTATGCTATAATTATCTTCAGTCATCTCTATTTTTGTGACATTGACACTGAAAAAATCAACACGTTTTCTTTTCTATTATAATATATTGATATGGTATTGTTGACATGATCGACACAAGAATCGACGTGAATACAAATCTGTATAAAATATATGTCAGTAAAAGATATTGATATCTAATGCAATGTCATTCATTCATCTATTCTTAAAATAATAGAACAAGAAGATTAGTTATTGTTGTTGTCGTCGTTGCTCTTATTATATGGAACTACGAGTACTGTTCATTACTTTATTTATTAACTTATACTATATCAAATTCATTCAATAATACATCGAACGCGTTTCGATTAATGTTTCAGAAGATGTATGCAAGTTCGAATAGCTGACTACTCTTTGATGTTTCCTTTTTTTTTTCTTGTTCCGTTAGTCACAGAGTATTCAATATTATATATATTAGAGAAAGAAAAGAAAAACGAGAGAGAGACAACGACCAAGAAAATTATGCTGTTCTTGTTTGCCTATAAGATGGAAAGAACGACAGAGACACTAACACCTCCTTCATCATCGTCTTTCTCTCTTCTTTATTTTTATCGTTCGTGCTTATATGCCATTGTTATTGACGTCTTTGTCATCATACCATAAAGTTATTTTTTTTTCTTCGATAAACTCATGTCGAATAACAAGAATGATGATGATGATGATGAAGCAGCAGCTGAGCATGAAAAAGTAGAATGTCGTCGTAATCGTCGTACATCTATTCAATTTATAGACAAAAATCTTATTCGACGACGTTCATCTGGTAATGAAAAGCAAGGACAACCACAACAGCAACAACAACAACAACAACAACCACAACGTTTGTTATCCATCAATTCAAGTCTTGATGTAGAATCTGTTGACTTAGATCATCTACAACAATATAGTGAGAATCTATAAAAGAAAGTGTTCTTTTTTTTTGTTAAAGAGAATAATTAATATGCAGATGGTTCGACATAATTGTTATGTTTTTTTTTTAGCAACTGCAAGTGATAGTGATAGTGATGCTGATGATGATGAATGTGGTGTTAATATACGTGCACTGCAACATGTTCGCTTTGATTAAAAATTTTGTCTTTTTTTTTCTATTATTATTATTATTATAATTGTTATAGAAAAATCAATCAGGTTTTACGGATTTTGCTGTTAGACGTATAAGACATGCACAATATGGTCGACGAGAAATTGAAATAGCTGAACAAGGTTTGTTTAATTTAAAAAGTAAACACTATTTTAATTTTTAGTTATATAAAAAATATGAATAGATTTATAATGAGTTCTTTACTTTATTATTTAAGAATTTTTACGATCTCTACAATTCTCATGACGTTTATTTTTTTTTATTTCTAATAAAATCTATAACAATTCTAGTGATGAAGACAATTAAGCTTCTATTATGAAAATTCTTCAGTTTTTCTTTTTCTTAGAAATGCCAGGCCTTATGGCATTACGTCGTCGAGCTGAAAGTGATAAACCATTACAAGGTGCAAAAATTGTTGGTTGTACACACATAATAGCTCAAACAGCTGTAAGAATCAAAAAAATTTCTTTTACTTTTCTAATATACATCTTATTTTATTAATATGAAAATAAAAAGGTGTTAATTGAAACATTAATACGATTGGGAGCTCAAGTACGATGGTGTGCTTGTAATATATTTTCTACTCAAGTAAATCGTTTTTTTTTTAAGCTTTTTCAATAAATATATTGTATGAAATACGATCTAAAAAATAAAATATTGAAGTATAGGGGTATATAAGGCTGAATCCCCTTAGCAACTAGTCATAATAGACGTGACAGATATTCTTAGAAATGCTTTATCACAGGCATAGTTAATAATATTGTCCTTCATGACAAACCTTGTTGATATGCTATCAAAGATCGTATATGAATAACCTTTTGTTAGACAATAGGAACTATTTCTGTATTATATTTCTGAAAGATTAAATAACAGTATGGTCAAGAAATATATCTTAAAATAGACTAAAACGGTGTGCACGATTTACTTTCCACGGAATTATTTTCCGTTGATTGTTTTCAGTGTTAATTCGATTTTTTTTTCACAAAAATTTATCAATTTTGATTCTGAGGATTTACTTTCCGTTGATTAGTTTGACGATATAAAATGAGTATATCGCTCACATGAGCGATATACTCATTTTATTTCGTCAAACTAATCAACGGAAAGTAAATCCTCATACGAAGACATCGTTAATTGATAAATTATTTTTATGCAATCAACGGAAAGTAAATCCTCAGAATCAAAATTGATAAATCTTTGTGAAAAAAGAATCGAATTAACACTGAAAACAATCAACGGAAAATAATTCCGCGGAAAGTAAATTGTGTAACACAACTAAAACAATTTTCCTATGATTAGAAACAACATATTTCACATTTTAATTTATCAAAGATTGCACTAATAATTTCCTTTTATCTTATATATATATATATATATAGAATGAAGTAGCTGCTGCACTTGCTGAAGAATCTATTCCAATATTTGCATGGAAAGGTGAAAGTGATGATGATTTTTGGTGGTGTATTAAAAAAGCTATTGGTACGGAACAAAGTTGGCAACCAAATATGATATTAGATGATGGAGGAGATTTAACACATTATTTTCATAAGCATTATTCAACATTATTTTCAACAATGAAAGGTATTGTTGAAGAATCTGCTACTGGTGTACATCGTTTATATCAAATGTGTCGTACACAAATATTAACTGTACCAGCTATGAATATAAGTGATAGTGTGACAAAAGCAAAATTTGATAATTTATATTTATGTCGAGAATCAGTTATTGATGGAATAAAACGATGTACGGATATTTTATTTGGAGGAAAACAAGTTGTCGTTTGTGGATATGGTTTGTTGAAGTTTTTTTTTATTATTTAGATTTATTGAATAAAAATATGAGAGTAGGAAAAAAAATCATTAAAATAATTGAAATGGATAAGATTGTTTTCTTTGCAAGGAATTAAAATATTAATTTAATAGATCAGATGCTGATATTTTTTGCTTTGTTTTCTTTATTCTTATAATCGTCTACTTATAACAGATACATCGTGTTTCATATATTAATCCTACAGGAATTGCACTAATAGTTGTTTTTCTTCTTTAACATTTAAATCTTTCTGTCCGGTAATTCACTATTAGCTAGATATACCTCTAGGGAGAATACCCTTGCTTTGTGGTATGAGATGACAAATTAACTAAATACAAGAACATGTGTATGTCATAACATAGTCAACATGCTATCCGAGATAAATATCGGTTAGTAACTTGAACCTATCAAAGAATATAATGAAGAAAAACTAAATTCAAGATTACATGAAAAATTAATTTTATAAAGCATTGATTTAGAAATTGTTTATATTTACTTAAGTTATATCAAAAGTAATCATTTTAACAAGATACAATCTCACAGGAAAATGTTAATCAAATTTTTACTGGAATAATTATTTGAGATAATAATAATCATATTTAATCATGTACAACGAATTTTTTTGAAGATATTTGTTTAAGTTTAATTTTTATAAATAATCTTTGATTAAAAAATTCATTATCTTAATGAAGTTTATCAATTAGATCGAGCAACTAGTGCTTCATGCATAGAATAAAGTGGATATAAAATAATTATGATACGTTCCGACAGCAGTTTCTAAGATTTATGTTTTTTGAAATCTCGCTATAGATTTTATCATTAGACAGATGAAATTTAAGCACGAAGAACAATCATATTCTTAACAAAAACTCAAAAAAGGTTCTATAGCTGTACGAAATCTTGAAATGAGTTCTACCGTGACTACATGGGATAGAATCATCGAAGATTTTGAATTCATGTACAAAATCTTATTAGGATCAACTAGATATGCACCAAACCATAAATGTTTGAGTTCTCAGTCTTAAATGTAGTCATTTTCAGTTAAGAAGTAGACCAAAAGAAAAGCTTTTCGAACTTGAATCGAACCTTAGAATGCTTCCATGATCACTCATATGCTCAAGAAGCGCTTGAATAATTACCTAAAGATTCGATGCTGTCTGCACGGATTGGATAGTTTCTGTATTCGAACCGTGGAACGAAATTCGAACGTGAATTGTTTGGTCTCGATCGTCACAATAGAGTTTACTCAGACTAAATAGATCCTGCACAGTATACACACACGAGATCAAACCTTAAAGTTCGATACTACACTTAATATGAAGCCTCTCAATATTTTCTTGAACGTACCCGAAAAATCTTAAAAAGTTCTTCAACCAAATCTATAATATTTGAGATTGCATGCGACCATTTTGTAATTTCGATAGCGACGATTCTATTCTATGTAGTTACGCGAAAATCCTTTTTAGAATTTCATACAACTATAGAATCTTTTTTGAGCTTTTTTAAAGAATGTGATTGTTTTTCGTACTGAACTTTCCGGATTCCTAAAATATATTATATACTATCAATAGATAAATCTCAGTAGTCCCTCACCTATCTATGAACGGGTATAAGTTCGTATAGTTTTCTCGTAAGTAAAAATATGAATTATATTCTATGTTTTAGGTGAAATTGGTAAAGGATGTTGTTCAGCATTACGTGGTATAGGTTGTTTTGTATTTGTAACAGAAATCGATCCAATATGTGCATTACAAGCCTGGTAAATCTTTAGTGTATTTGTCATAATGTTGTTATTGTTGTTGTTTTTTTTTCTTGTTTCTTTTAAATTAGTATGGAAGGATATAAAGTTGTTCGTCTTGAAGAAGTTATTAAACAAGTTGATATTATTGTTACAGCATCTGGAAGTAAACATACTATAACAAGAGATTCATTAGATAAAATGAAAAATGGAGCTATTGTTTGTAATATGGGACATTCAAATACAGAAATTGATATTGTATGTATTTGTTTTTGATATTGAATAATTTTTAGTACTTTTTTGCTAATATAGAGTTTTTTACGTCATCCATCATTAAGTGATTTACAAGTTGAACGTGTTCGAACAAATGTTGATCATGTTATATGGCCAAATGGTAAACGTATTGTATTAATTGCTGAGGTAGAAATTTTTCAATAGTTGTTTTTAATAGAAAATTAAATATTTTATTTCATATAGGGTCGTATTATGAATCTATGTTGTTCAAGTGTTCCATCATTTGTTGTTTCAATTACAGCAGCAACACAAGTATGATTGAAACAAAAAAAA